CATTGACATTTTTAAATATAAATATTGATCAATGTAATTATTGTTTATAAATATTGTTTAAATATTTTTTTTTTTTTTAAATTTTAATGTTCTACATGTTTCGCTCCCCATCTTTTCCTGTTCTCTCTTCTCTCTATTAAAGCAGCAAAAAGGCTAAACAAGAGACATTGGCAGTCCTTTCTAAAATGGCATCTGATTTGAATGTGCTCTTCACAAGGCTACGGCTGATCACTGTGGCTCCACTGTGGTCAGCAACTTGGTCACAAAGTGGTCAGCCATGCGTGCTTTGCTCAAAAGCACATTGCCGATGATGGAGATTGTTGCATGCTGCATCAGATTATCATTCCCTGCCACTCTCTTGTGAGCTTCAGTGCCATTTCCCATAATGCAACTTGTGGGATACTTAAACAGTCAATTGTCAGTTTATTTCATTCAGTTGCCACCTTGTCAGATCTGTCGCATAAGCTAGATTCCTGTTTTCTCTCTCTCTTTACAGCACTGTGTGATTGTGGAGGAGAGATGCAGACCGGAAGCTTGTGTAATTTTCGTTCGTTCCTTTGATCTGAGAGCCCAACAGCTGCTGCCAATTAGAGCATTTGCAGTTGATTTGAAGGGGAGATGGGTGGCCAAAGAGTGGACAGATTAGGTAGCTCACCCGCCGCTCTCCCCCTCGTTCTCTTCGGGATAATTGGCTAGGGGTGTCGTCCTGTCAAGAGGACTGTGGGTAGAATTAACACTGTGTAAACTGTCTCCTTATCATTCCTATTAAGTTTCTGTCTGTCTGTCTCTCCATAAAGATACTTCAGGGGTAGAGTTGAAAAGATTTGGTTCATTTAAAGGAGTTGCAAGTTTGGGCAGGAAAGCAGTCTGAATCTCCTCTGGGCTGGAAGGTCGTGGTTGAAAAGAAGCGCAGTTATTTTCAGAGCGCGTGTTGGTTCAGCGTGGTGAAGAAACGCAGTGCGATGGTAATGGGAATAGCAGAACGGTCGGGCTGGGTTGGATGGTAGAACCGAGCTTGGGTTCGTTGTCCGCCCAGACTGTTTTGCGCATGCAGCTGCAGCTTATGTAAGCCAGCGTCAGAGTTGATTGACAAACCCCATGTCTCGAAAGTTTTGAGGCCTGTCCACTAAAGTATATTTCTTTTTAGTTGATTATTGAACAAGGTTTTTTTCTCATTTCCTATTTGACAAAGAGTTTACGTCAAGGAAACTGATGAACAGATGTCGGATTTGATGGAAAGCAACTGCAAGCGTGATGTGAATTTTTTATTTATTTTTTTCTCCCCTCCCACTAGTAGATACTTGCAAATGTAATGGTCATCCTCTGAAAGTCTGCTTTTTCAGTAACAGAAACATTTTTTTTCAGTAACTTTTTCAGTAGGTTTTCTCCAAGGCAGTGCGGACTTTAAAAAAAAAATGGATGAGAAAATAATTGACAATAGATGTGTAAAATAAAACAAATATGAAATCAAATAGTGTATTGATCTCAAATATGTTGCACAAATTGGCTCTGGAAATGGACTAATTATGAAGTAAACAACTCTGACATGTTAATTTGAACAACACTGCTTGGGTCAGGTAAATTGGTTAAAGGTGCACAACTATGCTTATCCTTATACTTGTGAATGTTTTCTGAGAATTTGTCTGATTCTACCCTTTTAGTTCTTTAATGCAGTCTGTGGCTGTTTTTAATTATAATTAAATGAATTGTATATAAAAAATATAATTTTCTGAGCCCCTGTCTTTAGTTAATGTACTTGACTGATTGAATGCTCTGATAATGAAATCTGTGTGGTGGTTTTAAATTATATTTATATGTTAATTATTATAAAAAAGATTTTTCCAAGCCTTCTCTTGAGGTTTTAAATGGTTTTATTTGATTTAAAATGTAATTAATATACTTGATGGATTGAATGCTGTTTATTTCATTTATAATTTTTTTTATCATTGTCTTTTTTTTTAAAACTGATTAACTGGCTCTGATGGTTGATTCATTTATTACTTAGTTACTGTTCCTGTGCTGTGCAAAGCTGTTTGGATAAAGTTCCTACTATTTCTTTTAGAAAGAAAACTTAATAGTATTGGTTACTTTTTGGTAGTGTGAGTTAAATTGCAGTTCCCTGTGCCTTTTGAATCTGAAAACAGTGTAAACCTCAACTAAAAATGGAACACAAAATTACTTTGGTTAAAAAAGGCAGGCATATCACTTCCTGTGTCTCTCCTAAGCCTGTTGGCTGTGATCTTCTGTTTTTACAGTGAAGTCGTAAAGCTGCCCACGTGCCCTGGGGGTCCACTCGTCTTCCTCAAGCCATTTCCCCTGAGCTCATGCCCTTTACTACCTCTGGCATTAAAAAGATACCTTCAGCCGCTGCTTATTTCCTTCTCTTTTAACCTCTTACAAACACCCTGACCCCAACCCCAAAGCACTTCTACTTAACCATGTTCAAAGACTCCTGCTCGTACTGTATGGAGAGTCATCCTGCACAACCGGAAAGTGCTTTATTTGGATGCCATGTGTATCAGGCGATCTAAGAGGTCACTGATCTGTATTGTCTGCGTGTGCGCGTGTGTGTGTGTGTTCAGGTTTGGAATCCACCCTGTGGCTGGTCGTATGCCAGGCCAACTGAACGTTCTGCTGGCTGAAGCTGGTGTGCCTTATGATGTTGTGCTGGAGATGGATGAGATCAATCATGACTTCCCTGGTATGATATCCATTTTTGGTGTTTTTTGGTGTCATTTGTGGGATATAAAATCCATAATTGTGCTTTCCATTATTGTTTTTCAGAAACTGACCTGGTCTTGGTAATTGGAGCTAATGACACAGTCAACTCAGCGGCCCAGGAGGACCCCAACTCCATCATTGCTGGCATGCCTGTTTTGGAGGTCTGGAAGTCCAAGCAGGTGAGCATCTTATTAGTTGTTAATGCCTTGCAACTTTTAAATATGAATTATAGTCTTATAAAAAAAAATTTTGTAGCTGATTTCACACGATATACACAACTGTTCAAAAGTTTGGGGTTTAAAGAAATGGATTCAGCAAGGGCACATTCAGTTGTTCAAATAAATTTATAATTTGACAAAAGATTTCTATTTCCAGTAGGCTAATTGTTGTTCTTTTGAACTGTCTATTCATCAAAGAATCGTGGGGGAAAATGTATACCAGTTTCCACAAAAAATATTGAGTTTTCAATTTAATTAATAATTAGAAATGTTTCTTGGGCACCAAATCAACATTAAAATAATTTCTAAAGGATCATGTGACACTGAAGACTGGAATAATGGCTACTGAAAATTCGTCTTAGCCATCACAACAATAAATTACATTTTAAAATATATCAAAATAGAACACAGTTACTTGAAATTGGTAATAAGCTTTCACAATATTACTGTTTTTACTGTATTTTGAATCAAATAAATGCAGCCTTTGTGAGCATAAGAGACTCCTTTCTAAAATATTAAAAATCTTACAGACCTCAAACATTTGAACGGTACTGTACATGACATACTTCATACTCCATATGTATCAGGCTTTACATTTATGGCCTAGCTGGAATAAAAGCCAAGATAGCAAGAACTGGCCTCAAGCATTGTAATATAGACCATCCCTCATTCCCCACCCAGAGCGATATGAAAATCTCCATCCCATCCCTACAGCTGGTTCCCACTGTAACCACGCTTCGGTCCAGGTGTATCTCCAGAAAGATTCCAGCTCACGCTGCTTTCATTAGCACTGACTCGCTCGTTCTGGAATGATGACATTTCAGAGCATCCGACCGATACTTTCCCTAAAATGTGGGGCTGGTGTGCCTCACCACATGACAGGCCCACTGCGGCCAGACCTTCTCTAGGGAAATCACTCAGAGTACTGGGGCTTGACATTTGCGAATGTGCAAACACGTTGACCTTCTCCCAAGAGTAATTGCGTGTAGCTTGTTAACATGTTCCATAATTCCATACGGAATTATGCAAACACTAGAGCTTTGAACCAAAGCCTGCCTTATTTGTAGCAACTTGGAAGTGTAGCCAAGTCACAACAAGGGAACTCGACCAACTTCGAACGTAGTGACGCTCTTGATGACATGATAGTGCGGCAGAATCTGAAGTTTCCCTGTCGATTGTCTCCTTTGGTTTAGTTATCCTCAATGTCATGCAACATCCATCCTACTGATTGCTCCCAGCCATGTTAAAGACCTTCATGTGTAACCTCATTCCCAAATGAAACCAGCTGCCCTATGAATAATTTAACAAAAGGATGTTGTCCTGTCCTGGGGGAGGCTGAGCCTGGGTAAAGTGGTCACGTGACTCTTTGAGAAGAGGGGTTGGGTGTGTCTGAACGCCATCCTGATGCCACCTGGCTGGCATTAAACATCTGCAGGGCTTTTGAGGGACAGATGATGATATTAAAAGGATCCGCCTGCCGATTTTGAAGTCTCAAGTTGAGGGTCATTTCGTTCCAAATATCTTTCAGTGTATTGAATAACACTAAAGCTAGACCAGCGGCAAGGGCTCTCCTCTCTGGTTTTGCTTATTCAATTACCAAGTGTTCCTCCTTCCCAAACAGATGCTCTCAATCAAAGCGCTGCTCTCAACGATTTTCCCAGAAACTGCTCTGCCTAAAAACTGGTGTTCAAGACACTAATGACTCTTAATTTTGTAAATGGCGGATACTTAAATAACCATTACATGTTGGAAGCATGGGCTGTTTTTGCACCCTCTTGTACAAATCCTAAAACCGTTCTCCACCACTTCACATGCAGGTGCATGCATTGTCTTTACAGTAATAATGTTGAAGATTTTGTGTAAGCTGGCTCAACTCAATGGAAAAATCCGTTGATAATCTAAGGGCAACATACAGGATTTTATTTAGTGTGAATTTTCTAACTTATTCCATGAAGTACCTTTGTTCCTGGATAAGACAAAATGCATCAACCTCTGCTTTCATCCCTTCAGGTCATCGTAATGAAAAGATCTCTGGGAGTTGGCTACGCTGCTGTGGACAACCCTATCTTCTACAAACCAAACACATCCATGCTTTTGGGAGATGCCAAGAAGACTTGTGATGCTCTGTCTGCCAAGGTCCGTGAGGGCTAGAGAGGAAAGAGAAGATCTGACCTTGCTTTGCACCAGATGAGTCACGGAGATGAGGAGATCGAACAAACCCAATAAACCCTTGGATATAAATTAGCACTAATAGGAACAAGCTCTTAATGACACTCTATGCCCATTTCGATTTTGCTGTAGATATAGGTAGTTTATTTAGTATTTCCAGAACTTTTGTTTTTCTTTTCATTAAATGTTCTTCTTTTGGTCCCCCATTTAAATAAAGGAAAAAAAGCATTACAGCATCACATTAATTAGCATTAATAAAGCAAGCTAACCAGTTATCATCTGGCTTTGTATGTATTATAGATCCGGTTTTATATAGCACAGCAATCTGTTTAAAAAAAAAAAAAAAAAAGTTTAAACAGATAAGAGAGATTTAATGATTGACTCCATCAATAGGCTTTGTTGCTGTGCTATATAAAACCGGATCTATAATACATACAGTTTAAAAAACTTTTTTTTTTTGTAGCGTTAGCATACATATGACTAATTTGTTTGAAAGCCATAAACGACTCTAAACTGTATGCTTTTTTTTCTCCTTTTTATTGCTTCGTTGTTTATTTGCCATGTGCATTAAGTGACCAGTTGGTGGTGTAAGGTGTTCAACTTTTTCAGATGCAGCTTCAGAGGACCATATCCAAACAATGCAAATTTTCTGTTAATAGCATGAAGCGCTGAAGGATTGCTGCTGAGATGAAGTCCTAGCCAATATCACTGAAGATTTACACACAGAATCCCAAACACCTGTGGCTCCTCCATAAAATGATTTGTATTCCCCAACCACTCTTAATTCAAGTGAATGTCACTGGAGCGGTGAGGTTAGTATGAGTAGTCACTGTATATCTGCCCTGTTGTCCTCCCAAATTTGTTCCCAGCAGTAATCCTCCACAGTATTTGACAGGGATTTGAACATATGTATTATACTTTACCCACCGGGACCTAATGGAGTAGATCCTACGAGATACAGGAACCAAGACAGACCATTACAACAACCCTACCTCTCCACAGTTTCAACTCGACCAAAACAATCCCTCACCTCCCCAATCACACACTCCTCTGCTAATGTTCGCCTTGAGCTGGGCTGCATGGGGCGCGTATAGTTTGTTCCTCGATGTAGATTTTGTGGATGCAGGAAGGTGGTACACCATTCTTTGCAATTTAGATGCTGAATTTCATCTGATTCAGGAATGTTTTAATATGTGAAAAAAAGAAGTAAATTGTAAGGGAATCAATTGCTGCAAGGGAAAGAGAAAGTATTTATCGAACACCGTTCGGGTTAATACAGAGTTTTGCATTCCCTCCCGCTCCTTCAGGATGTTTTTTTAAAGACAGGTTCTTGTGTAGAAACGATGCTTTGAAAATTCTGCTTTGCCGCAATACATGGGAGGGAAGAGGGTGAGTCTTCAAATGTTTCATTGTGCCATGGTGAGGAATTAATGTCATACTGTGAAATGTTTTTTCTCTCTCCACTGTATCACAGAGCATCCCTCTTAATAAACATCCTGATAAGAGAACCGATGGCATTCATTTCTCAATATCGCATGCCTTCAGTGTTGCGGGCACCACAATGCCTAGATTGGGCTGTTGAAGAAACCACTTGCATCTTCTGATGAGGGAATATCTGCGCACAAGTGACAATGATTACCCATTGTCAGTTTTTTCCTCATTTATGTCTGAAGTTAAGGGTGGAGATGTTTGCTCTGATCTCAAGTCCATGTGGGTTCTTTCACCTTTGCAACAAGTGGCACTCAGACATGATCGTATCTTCACGCACCTTCTCCCAGTCTCTCTTAAAGGGATAGTTCACCCAAAAAGGAAAATTCTGTCATTAATTATTCACCCTCATGTCGTTCCAAACCTGATTACGCAGATTACGTTCATGCACGCGCTTTCTCCCTTGAACGTAAACAACGCTGATTGTCGATTACGCTCTCGGGTACTCTCCAAAATGGCGGAAGATGTAACTCGGGGGGAGAATAATTGTTAAATTGTTATTTTTGTTTTCTTTGCGCTCAAAAAGTATTCTCGTAGCTTTGCAAAACTGAAGTTGAGCCACTGATGTCATTTGGTTCTCCATGTCTGGTCCGTCTGTTAGTTCTCTTAATTCCAGTCCTTTCAGTGTCCTGGAGGGTCTTGTAGATGTTTGTGGTCACGCTAATGAATGTGCCTGATGTTTCTGCTCGCTCGTTCTCTGTAACCATGCTGAAAGCAGATAAAATGGGTCTTCGTGACTGTTTCATTAACCTACGAGTTATCTCCAGTGCTAAAAGTGCTGAAAAACACCAGATGAAATATGATTGGAACTAGCTAGGCGCACTGTGTTCCTTCACCACAAATGTGACAATTACTGTGTGGTTTGTCTCTGTGATGTCAAAGGATGTGGCTTTTTTCCCCCCCTGGTGGACTGTGTTACTAAATCTGCATTCTTGGAGTTCATCACTGATGCTCATTTCCATTGATAATCTACATCTCTATTGCAGATAGAGCCTGATCCAGTTCTATCAGCTTAAAAGTGCGTTCACACTTTGTGCTCTATGCACTCACATTTGCATTCACATGCACATGCAGTTTGCTTACCTGCATGTTTGTAGAGCCAAAAGACATTTGACAGAAACACCAAAGAACACCAAAGCTTTGCAGTTTGCGGTGTTATATTTGGTGCATTAACTATTTGAACGGGATCAATGGGTTCTGGAACTGTTCATACAAAGTGTGAACATTTGCATGCCAAAATCTAACATTATACTTTTCGTTCAACTGGCTTTCATTCATATGCATGCAGATGTGGGAGAGCGGAAACGCAAGACCATGTGAAGACGTTTTACATTTCGCTGTTACAAATTCGCAGGTTACAGTTCACCAGACTTGATTGTGAAGCCGTGTGACCACTAGAAGTTTGATACGTCACGCCTTAACCTTGTAGCTGTATTTAAAAATACATGCATTTAAAACGGCACCATAAGTGGAGTAGATTGTATGTTTTAACATTTTGGATTTATTGTTTATGTGTTGAATGTACGCTGCAGACATATCACGACCATTGCAGTCCGAACTAATTTTGCATGCTCCGTCTAGTGTGATCACGGCTTTATGGTCACATTTTCCAGCACACTAGTGGTTCTAAAGCTAGATTGCAATGCAAATCTACAATAAATACATTTTGTAATTCAAATGTACAGTACAATATTAAATAATAATTGTTGGACCATTTTATGGACCTTAATTTCCAAAGCTGTAGTTGAATTTCATTTTCTCTTGGTATGTGGAAAATCTAGGAGTCTAAATGTTATTTAAACCTGAAAATGAACTGAATGTTGTAGGATTTTAGACCTTTTCAAACAAAAAATGTTATGATGTAAAATTAACATGAAATTTTAGATTCTACTCTATTTCTAGGTGACTAATCAAGCAAGTAAATGTGACACTGATCATGTGAATTTCTTTGAACAAAATTCAATGTTCTTCTATTGAAGCTCAAGATGCTCTTTGGATCATTCTGAAATGATACTGGATAAATATACTTTATTACCTATTCTGCTTTTCCATACAAATTGCTGTGCAGTTGCTGAAGTGATCTGCATGGTTTTTAGTGGATTTTAGTGATAACTAGGATATTCCATGTGGTTGCTGGATTATTTACTAATCAATACTATGTAAGTCTAAGGTATTTTTTTTGCAGTCTAAAAACTTAATTTGGGGTATCATTCAAGTTCGTAGCAACCTGTGCAATACTTGTTCCAAACATTAACCTAAAATATGAGCAGTAGAAAATAGTGACACTTGGCTTGGCAAACACAGCTAAAAAGATTCATGCCTGCACAGAATCTCTTTGTTTGTATGGTGGCATCTTATCGTAATCCCCAAAGGTAACTGTAACTGCAGATAAAAGTGATGTCTACCCGTTGATCATCTCTCTATATGTCTTGAATCATACTCACCTGTTCCACCTGTTTGGCTCTTTTAACAGTTTAAGCACACGGAGCACCAGATGGAGCGCATGCAAGTCCCTTTCATCATCCGGCCAGCTGAACATTACTCTGATTTAAAACACAGTGGACGGCTGTGCACAAACAGTATCTCCAAACGTCCTCTTCTAAGCTGCAGCACAGATGCTCTTAAAAGCAAATCCAACCCATTTCACTCTTAAAATAAACATAAATGTTGACAAAGTACAACCCTCGTCGTACCATATCCTCGCTATTAGGCCTGACATTTAAGAAACACAAACGGTTCAAGTGTCCTTTTAAGATACTTTTATTGTCTAAATTCCATGAATGTGAAGCTTTGGTTAAAATGGAGTGGTTAATGTCAAAGATGTAGAGTTTTTTTTTTTTTTTATGCTTTTGAGGTTTTGCAGAGGAGTTCTGGAATCATTCTAATATGCTGAAAACAGTTGTGCTGTTGAATCCCTGATACATTTTTGTCATGATTCATTGTGGAATGGAAAGGTCTAAAGAACAGAATTTATTTATTTTGTACTGTCATTAATTGAATGCATCCTTAAATACATAAAATTGCATAAGACTAAATAAACATGCATTTCTTTAAAAAAATAAATTGTACTGACACCCAACTTTTGAACGCTAGTGTGTATACACAGAATATATATATATATGCACAGAATATATATAGCTGTGTTTATGTAGATGGCTAAGTATAGTCAGTCATGGAGATGTTCACAGCTGCAGTGTTTTGTCATTTGTAAAGTTTGGATCAGGACTATAATGTCAAGGCTGCAAATCTCCTGGTCTTTAAAGTGTGTTTGTGCAGCAGTAGCCAGGGACAAAATATTTACACCAGTAGGGTTAGGGTTGTTTTAAACTTGGAGCCGAATTGTGATGTTAGTGCAGAGAGTATCCCTGACTGACCTTCACACAAACCTCAGACATGTCTATGCCATGTTACCATAAATTATTTTAACATGAAGAATAGCATGCTGTCACTGAATTTATGATCTCATATTTGTGAAAACAGACAAGTGGTTATATTGAGTCTTCACCAGCAGGCAGTGCTGTTTCTGAGCTGTATTAGTTGAATCACTCCTCAGATGACTTTGTTACATTGATAGTGTCTTTTAACTCTATACACACTTTTGCTCTATTAACAATAATATCAGATCTGTTTTTTCCCCCCAGCAGGTATACCATACAAAATTACGCATTTATTGCAAATTACATCTTTAAGACATATCTTTCTGGATAGCAGAAATATAACACTGTAAATCAAGGTCTTGCAGATTTGATAGTCATTGTAGATCACAAAGACTGGTCCTTCTTTAGCACCTCCTAAAATAAGTCACATTTCTGGAGAAATAATAGGCTTCCTACACTGTCTAGAATCAAAGAT